AACTATGGATATCCAGACCTAGCTCGTTTATCAGAATGCTTAATGGACATCGGTGAGTTTTGTCCAAAACGCATTCTTCTGAAATAAGCATGTTTGTTTCGAGGGAAATCGAACCCAGCATCAGTTGATACATTTGTCTACTAGTAGCCATTCAGATAACTAATTATTATTTTACCATAAACAGAATTGTTCTTGAAGATAAACTTCAAGGGCATTTCAGTTTATTCATATTTTAAAATGTTTACACTCCACTCAAAACAGAAAGTTTTGTTTCAAATACTCAAGTACGTACTTGAGTCAGAGATTTCCTGTTTTCGAGTGAATTATGTACCGGAAGTTTTTGTTAAGTTTTTCAGTGGAGATTTATTTAGCCATTATAATGAAAATTAATAAAATTTATTATTAAGATTATAACGTGAAGTTACTAATAAAACGATCGTCTGTTGTCCGTTCTGTTTTAAAGTACTATAATCTAGAATTCATTATTTCGTATGTTTTTATCAAATGGATACGTCTTTTAAAATATAATAAAGCCTGATTGAGATTATAATCTGATGCCTAGTATTTGAGATCATTTAATCTTATACATGATCAAAAACAACGGCTGGTCTGAACCCTAAAGCCTAGATAGACTGGTAAAGATAGATTACATGATATACGGTTTTCAGATGAAAGAGATATATATTTTATTAATTGAGGTTATAACTTTCTCTCTATAATCACCCACGTACTACCGATTATTTAATGACCTGGTAAAATATTTTTTAACAATGGTACAGAGAGTGCCAGTTAGCACGAATAAAAAATTATTGGTGGTCCGTTCTGTTCTACTGTCAAAATAAGACTGGTACAATATATGTAATAAATCTACCTCATAAATAATTGTTAACCTCATCAGAGAGTTAGAAAAGATTGTAGAATAATCAGTATCAGTAAACATAGCACCAGATCTCAAATATTAACAAGCAAGAGAAGATCTGACTCTTGTATCTTCTCGCCTCGCCACTCTTTTGAATTATAAAACATTAATAATAAAACGTTTTCATCTTATTTTGAACTGTGTTAATGTATGCTCTCTGACTAATTGGTTCCATTTTTAAAATAATTGTTAGATGTAATAAACAATGTGAATAAGGTCTACGAATACAAATTAAATAAATAGTCATCAAGCTTTTGCTCTGTAGGTGCTCGTGCAACGAGGTGCAACCATTACACCATGCTCTTTTTTTAATGGATAGAAACCTAGGCTTGGGGTGTTCAATCGCTTGAAGGCAGGACGGAAGCTCACTGGAGTGAGCTAAGTACAAAGCAAGGAACCTCAACTTCACCGGCAAAGGCCGTTTTTTAATCTAATCTGAATTTAGAGGTTTTTTGGTAGCTTTAAATTTGCCATTAGCTAACGCGATTGGATCATTCTACAGGCTCCTACAGGCTGTTGTTGGGAAGGCGTAGTAATTGATGCTTTTACCAACGGGTTAGCTCCACTTCGTCAAGATCGCCTTGAAGAAGCTGACTTCATCCATCGAGCTTAAGTAGAACTCACTTTTAAAATGAAAAAATCTCATAAATACTGATATGCAGAGTATAAAAATGCACTATTATTTTGAAAACAGCACAGAATTATTGTAAACAATATATCACTTTGGAACCTTGCCTAAGGTTAGTTATTATTTTTTTGTTATAGATTGTAATTAGTTAATTGCAGATATGATGTCATTATGAAATTAATTATGAGAATGTCTCATATAAAAATAACAAAAGCGCATCTAGTAATGTTTGTCTACGTGAAAGGACTTAATAGATGTAATGGTCGGTGAAACGTTTAGCTATTCTTTCTTTTGCAATTACAGTTGTACTAAGAAAGATTTACTCTAAATAAACCATTTGACTACGAAATCTAGAAGAAAATCTTTTTCTATTTGTAAAAGAAAGCAAAACAAAAAACTAAATCTTCAGACCGTTACGGCTACTGTAATCGTGCAGTTTTATAAAAATAAATAAATCAGTGGTGCTACAACCTTTAAGACTGGGACTCATTTGTCAATCTAATAGGCGAGTAGGTGATTAGCCTGTGCCTGACACACGCCGTGACTTTGTTACTACGGCAGGCCGGTTTCCTTACGATGTTTTCCTTTACCGTTCCAGCCAATTTTAAATGAGCACTTAGAAAGAAAGGTCATTGGTTCACAGACTAAGATCGAACCTACGATCTTAGTCATGAGTTTCGCACGATGAAGAAACTAGGCCCACAATGCTGCAGTATATAAAACAGCTATTTATTTTACCAATTACATATATATAAAATAAACGAAAATGTGTTTAATTTCTCTTATTCACATTCGAATCACGGCAAACAAATTAACTTGACAAAATATTCTTTGACGAAATGAACATTCATATAGCGAATTCGACAGCGATATTTTAATATACATTTAATAATTATTTATATGTATATTGTATATATTTGATGTAATATTTATTATAAATATATAAATACCAATCGTAATTGCTACAAGTCGTTGATCTGTTGAAAGATTCGTTACAAGAAGTATTTTAAATATTATAGTATCTGAAAAATAGTAAATATAGTATACGTAGTGTAAACAAATTGGAGGAGGCTTTCTCCCCGACGAAGGCCGCATCTTAAAATAATATACCCGTAATAGTATATATCTTTCTATATAATAACTAACCTATAAGTATATATAACCTAACCTAATATTATTAACAAACCTCTTTGTTCTTGGATGTATGCATATATACACTTATAATAATAATAATTTATTACACGTAATGGCGTGTAAATTTGTCTTAAAAGGTAGAATTTGAAATAGAAGTTAAAATTCCACTATGAGTCTTATCATTATAGTCAATATTTATATTATTTTATCACATTATTAGAATATATTTTACGTTTCTAATTAATATTAATTATTCCTTGGTACCTCAGTAAACTAGAATAGTGACTAGGTTAATATCAACTATGCAAGAAACTTTTTTTGTATCGCGCAGCCCGGATATACAACGGCCAATTATAAGCCTTGACTTGTTAAATATATCACAGAATATGCTTAAGAAGTATGTTAATTAAGAATATCCATAGCGCTAAATCACCAGCATCATGAGCACACCCCACATACACACCATCACACAGCACAGCTGAATTAGGTGTTACGTATTTAATAACTTTTATTCAAAGTCAAAAGTCAAAATCATTCATATTCATATAATTATATAGGTAACAATGTACACACGTCGAAAAAAATATATGAAATGCTTCTAATTTTACATTTACTGCAAGTTCACAAATCAAGGGCGAAGAAGGAAAGAGAATAACTGGCAATAAACATTATACCTTTCTTAAATGTTCGTTTCCTTTTTGTACATATTATGTATCCCATCTTTGGTTATATGTTTAGTATGTTAGATAATAGGTATAGAATATGAAATAAATAAATATATATTTAGAAAATATGTAAGGAATATTCTTTGTCTCGAATACACATATATTTTAAACGGTATTCACGCGCTGTTTCACAAAGGTGTCTCCACTATTTAAGCCCTAATATTTCACTCACACAATTCGTACCGATTTAACTTTAATGGAGAAAAAGGCCTAGTTAATAACGGCTAAGTGTGAGTATTCCGTTTAGTCGAGGGATTCCGTAACTTTTTGTTACAAATTGACGACTGGTCTAGTGGTTAGTACCCCTGACTGCGAATCCATGAGTCCCGGGTTCGATCCCCGGCTGAGACAAAACATCGATGTGATGAGCATTTGGTGTTGTGTTTAGGTCTTGGGTGTTTAAATATGTATTTATATATGTTAGATCTATATATCTATAATATGTATGTATATCCGTTGCCTAGTACCCATAACACAAGCTTCACCAGCTTAGCATGGGACTAGGTCAATTGGTGTCAAAAAAAACAAAAAGAAAAAAGAACTGATATATTTTTCTGTACTTCGATAGAGTAATTTCCATTCTTCAAATAACGAGGAACAAAAACTTAATAATGAAGTTGAATTCGAAATTAAAGTTGACAAATGTTCAAAACATGTTTCCTACAAATATAACGTATATTATTCTTAGGGTCTGTTTCACAATGTACGGATAAGTTCTACATAAGTTCCAAATTAGCTATTTATTACTAATTGGTAGGATAAACACTATTATTGCGTTTCACGACTGTCAGATAGCGCTATTCGTCACATAAAGTCCATCATAAGTTATTAGTCCGATGAATGTCAAATAGCACAATTTATCTTCCAAATAATTTACTTGTTGCATAGCTATTTGGTACTTTTTCCATACATTGTGAAACAGACCCTAACAGTACTAAATAATATTAGATATTTATAGTGTTTATATTTGTGTGAATAAATAAATATATATATTTAAATCCGAAAATCTAAAGGTAGGAACGTATTTAAGTTTTTTGTCAATAACGCTTTACGACCAAGCGAGCAGTGTGTAATTTCTATTTGAGTTTCCCCCTTTAGTTACGAGTATTCATTTAATATCAGCCCTGCGATTCTGTAACTCACTTTTCGAACTCACTGAGCGGTTTTCGCATCGGCGGTCGCTCTCAAATCAGTCGTGAAGCAGTCATTTTATAATTTGGCATTCTGAAAAGGTGGGAGCTTGTAGTTTATTGTTTATCAGAATGCCAAATCATAAAATGACTGCTTCACGACTGATTTGAGAGCGACCGCCGATGCGAAAACCGCTCAGTGAGTTCGAAAAGTGAGTTACAGAATCGCAGGGCAGCATTTTTAACGGGACCCCAAAAACACTCCTTTGTGCTCCTCTGGAATATTAATAACTTGAAAGTTTCGAAGCCCTTCGCATGAATCCGCAAGTTTATTAAAAACGGGGGCCGAAACGCGATTTTTGACGCCATACAAAAATGAGTTAGCTTTGAATAAATAATAACTCTGGAACTTTATAAGTATAATTATATCTCTTATAAAATCATTTACATTATATAAACCAGCCATGTCTTTCGAATTTCACGTGTCAGGCACAGAAGAACTTGTTGCCTTAAAGTATGCAGAATATGTCTGTTTTTTTTACAGAATATTATGGTTAAGGTAATAAATAAAAAATATTGTACATATTCTTTATTTTTGTTTCTTTAGCGAATCAATTTTACACGAAGTTAATATTTTAATATTTGCAGATTTGTGCTTCTTGAAGAGAACCCAGCAGCAGTAGAACAAATGATGCAGAGCCTAGCAAATATAAGTAGAGAAGTTGGCCTAGAAATCAATGCCAGTAAAACAAAATTGATGTCAAACTCAAGGGAAATAGACGTTATGGATAGATGGCAACAAGATCGAATATGTCAAAGAATATATTTACCTAGGACAAATAATTTCCCCTTCAGATGAAACGACAAAGGAAATAAACAGAGGAATAGCGATGGATGGAGAAAATACTGGTCACTGAAGGAAATAGTAAAAAGTAAGGATCTAGGCAATCACATAAAAAAGAAAACATTCGAGACCTGTATTCTACCAGTTCTTACTTATGGCTGCGAAACTTGGTCAATAACACTTCACCACAGGGAAAGGCTAACAAAATGCCAACGTGCCATGGAAAGAAGTATGCTGGGTTTAAAAATCAAAGACAGAGTCAGGAACGTAGACATGAGAACAAGAACAAAACTCATAGACATTCTTACGCGGATAGACGTCCAAAAATGGCGTTAACAAATGGAGCAAGCAAGTCACTCTCTGGCAACCAAGAGACGGCAAAAGAGGTAGGGGTCGTCAAGTCAGGAGATGGGAAGATGACTTGAAACTGGCAGCGGGACCAGTAGCAAGGGACAAGATCCACTGGAAGGAATTGGAGGAGGCCTATGCCAAAAGGCACACCGAACTTAGGGATCTCTTGTAACCCTACGTTTAGGAATAAAAGGCTATTATTATTATTTGCAGATCAACTAATATTTTTATTTTATTTAGTTTATTTTCTAATAATTTGATAACACGATGTACACAACTAACTTATCTTAAATTTAAATTTTCGCTAAGTGAATGTAGTTCTTTGAGAAATAAAGTGTCTTTGAACTGAAATGGCATAGTAATAAAATTATATATGAAAAGCGAATTTTTCGTTTCAAATAGTAAAGAAGTATATATTGAAAACGAAGAACTACAGAACTAACTAAAGAGTACTTGAAACTTTTTTTTAGAACTATTGAGTATTTGTGATCTAAAAGTGAATGATAACACTATGTGGAACCAGCTGTCCACTGAAGTATTTCCGAACCAATTCGACTTAGGGTCCTTCAAAAGAAGAGCGTACCAATTATAAATATAAAAAGAAAAGAAGTTATAGTACTTATTTCACCCAATTTTTCCAATTGAACTAAGAAACGGCGCACGCTTTTACAAAAATTATGAATAAAATTGGAATATAAAGTTCAAACTAAATTTAAAATTTCCATTCAATAAAATTTCCAGATATTACTGAAAATACGGAAGTCGATATAGAAATATTGAGACTAATCTTATAAATGGATTCTATAAAAATGGATTGCGATACGATAGGATGAGATTGCTTGACCGCGGGAAAGGAATTCAGAATAGAAAAGTTATTTTAAAATTGTTTCCTACTACTGGTAACTTAAATACATTTTTGTATACTTATTTTCTGAATTTACCCTAGTAGCTGGTTCTAAAGTCAATCCTGAGATAGAGATTTTTTGAATATGTGCATACTCTGCTGAAGGACCGATCAGCCTTGCGATTCTGTAACTCACTTTTCGAATTCAACTGCGCTGAAAAGGTTGGAGCTTGTTTGTTTATCAGAATGCCAAATCATAAAATGACTACTTCACGACTGATTTGAGAGCGACCGCCGATGCGAAAACCGCTGTGTGAGTTCGAAAAGTGAGTTAAAGAATCGCAGGGCTGGTCGCCAAAGTCCAAAAAAGTGCATTGTTTCTTTCCATTTTTCATCATCGTTTCTTGAAGAGGGGCAAATGGAAAAAATATATGGGGGAGTTGAGTAGTTTATGTATCCATTTTGAAAGATCGATACACGATTGAAATAACTTCGCTCGATGGAAAAAAAATCTTTCTCATCACTTTGAATTCATTTTACACGATATATTTTAATCTATTTTAGAAAAAAAATTGATTAAATTACATTAATGTAATGTTTTAAAACCCTGAGTAGATGGAAAAACAAGGGCATTCAATCATATATCAAGGTGTCATATGGCGGCGTCCATGCGTCGGGTTGTCTCTCTTCCTAAAATATAGCTAGGGGGGCCCATGGCTGGCCATGCGTCATACCCGTGAACGGGTGCTACTTGTGGTGACTGGTCGTACTTGAATTCGTGTATGCGGTGATGTTAGTTGTTTCAACTATGTATTTGCGTGTTGTTCCCACGAGAATGTACGTGCGTGTACCTATTTCACCATGCCTCCTACTGATAGAGGACAAATTTTTGTTTTTAATTTATTTTATTATTATTTATTACTTAAGATGTCATGTGGAACATGTGGTTGCAGCTCCTTTCCTTACAAACGTTGGGTTAAACAAAAACTTTGCGACTAAAAAGAGTGGCGGGGAGTTTATTGCCAGTTCTTCTATTCCGTTCTACGCCCTGGCAGTAAATGTAAAATTAGAAGCATTTAATTTACCTATATTTTTTTTTTGACGTTCATTGTTTTACCTACATGAATAAATGATTTTTGACTTTTGACTTTCATGCTTTTCTTTTTTTTATGGTATAGTGAGACAAACGAGCTTGGGACGTCCAAAAAGGGAAGCCATCGCAGCCCATTTACACCTACTAAAATGAGTGACTCTTCCTTTAAACAATTGGAGGTCGTATTTTCCTGGGAAGATCCACACCGGGAGTCGATACCACAGTTCGCTAGTTTGCAAAAGAAAGTATCTTGTGAAGCGGACCGTGAAAGACTTCCAGCCGTCTTGGTGATGCTGATAAAATTATATGAATAGAGCTCATTCAATGTTAGTTAAAACATTCTTACTGTTTTGCCGCCTTCAGGGTCCGGACTTACAAGGTACGCACGGAACAAAAAATGCAGAGAAAAACAAAAGAACATCATCTAATATTCATATACAATTTATTTTTAATAAGAAAATCAAAAATAATCAAAGGAGGTTCTTATTGACAGTAATTCAGTGTGTCTATTCTTGACATATTTTAATTTTTATAATAGGCAACACAGCATTTGTTAAAATATTTTTGTACCAATTACCAAGCGGAGCCACGTGCCAGGATAAGGGCATAAACAACGGTGACCCGTATTAGCTGGGACTATGCCAAATACGCAATAAGCAAAGTTCGCCCATTTGTTTACCATAGAAGAATTGTGAACAGTTGCGCCAATTATTAAAGCGATAAAAATTGAACACTAAAAAGTATTTCGTAAACTTAAGCGAATTAAACATTGATTAAAAAAAATTTAACCAAAAAGCAATGCTTAAACACATCATATTCGTTTTAATCCATATTTTTAAACAAACAGTATACCCTCCACTTAAAAAAGTGGACAAATTTACAAACGTATCTATTTATTATTTATTAATTTAATACTATCAACGTCACATATATCTTTGTATTTTAAATTGAAGAAATGGTTGTCTGTAAAGTCGGTTTACGGACGATAGTTTAGCACGAAGAAGGAGTGATTCCTCGAACGCATAGGCCAATCGAGTGGAAGAGAAATTAATGCGGCGCAAGCGTACAATTAGCGTAACGGGACAATGAGTTATGCTTTTCCGTGCGTGCAGCCGGCGTTTATCGATTTATTCAAAAATCAAGTTTTTTTGGTTCAATTAATTCAAATGTTCGCGGTATTAAAGCTATCCGATGCCTTTTTAAGCATTCAAAGTTATTGATAGGCGTTTAAATATCTACATACTGTTATTATTATACTGTATTTGTCAATAATTGTGCTGTAGCTCGAACTAGTTGTTCGTTTCTGGGTTATAATTTGTACACTGGGATAATATTGTTTTATTAGCAAACAAATTTGCTAATTAAATCTTTGATTAGGACTTGAAAACAAAATGAAAGTGAAATTTGAATGCTTAATGGACAAATAATGACAGCGCTTTAAAGTATTCATGTCTCTTTTCATCACAGCGCGAACACAATTTGAAAGAAAGATACGAATTAATACTTTCTTTAAAATAGTACTGACTGTCTGTCATAGTCTGACATAGTCTGTCATAGTCTGTTTAGTCATAGTCTGACAGTTTGAGTAATTTTCGCGGCCTTCCCAAATGTCTTGTCTTTGGACTTGACAGGTCCACTCAATCTGTGTGGTTCTTTCCTCAAAAGACCATTTGAGACAACAATCTACATGGTCTTCACATAATCTTGTTAGTTATGTCTGGACTTTAAAAGAGACTGTGACCTCTGAGTTTGTTTCGGCGTTTCTTCTCAGAGTAGTCAGATAGGAAACGTCGATCTCATCTAGTTTTAAAAAAAAAAAAATGTTTGACGTGTAAAAGTGTTTGTAAAAACCTACTTACAGAAATAAATCATTTATCATTTATCATTTTTTTTTTAAATATTTATTTATTTTATTTAATGTTTTATGTAAAAAAACACAAGTTTGAGTATAAGTTTAATTTTAAAAATATATTATTTACAATATTTCTTAACTCTATTAATCAGAAACGAGAACTTTGCTTGAAGTTCTCGTTAAACTAAAACTAAGTCTGTAGGTACTTATACAACTTAATAACTTGTTTAAAATACTTAAACATATTGGCAGAGATTTCTTGGAAGCACTAGATTTGACTTCGTAAAATTATTTTCAATAAAATGTCAAAATCTATTTAATAACGTTAATATTTACATTAATTATTAATAGTAAAAAATCGAAAACTCTTGGCAGTAAAACCCAGCGCTACAACCTTTTAGGCCTCAAATTTCTGTATCTCTAAGCCATTGAAGTTTTAGTGTAGCCATTTTTCAATAGAACAGGAGGGGCAAAGGCAGGCGGCGGATCTGATGTTAAGGACACCGCCCATGGACACTCTCAATGCCAGAGAGGTCGCGAGTGCGTTGCCGGCCAATAAAATGTTTTGTGCCACCATTGATTGTTGGGTCTCAAACATAGATTCTTCATCATATTTTCCATCACCGTACAAATTGCGTGTTAAATGCGCACAAAGTCTATTAGTGCACAGCCGGGGATCAGAACTATGAACTCAGGAATGATCACGCTAAACCAGGCCAACAAGGCAGTATATTAAAAATTAAACAATATTTTGTATAAAAAAATAGGCAATATCATATGAAATCGAATCAATTGTATTCTCAATACACTTCGCTAAGATTTTGTTCTAAAACCAGATTTCAGTCGGTTAGTAGAGTTACTTGGTTTAAATTCAC